ACTTCGAAGACTTCAAAGAAAAGTTAAAAGGTGCTTCAAAACTCACGTGCTGTTCTACAGATTTGCCCTGCGTCCTGATTGAGAAAGGAAACTGTGTTCTTAGTTTGCAGTGCAGTAGTAGCGCTGAACGGTTCTTCAGTTGTAAACTTTGTTGTTGAATCATAAGAGGATCAGTAGGGGCCTAAACAGATTGACTGCGTTAGTAAGCCTAATTAAATTCACCTTTTCAATGTGAAATAGCAAACTCTTTGGTGTAGTTTCCACGTTAGGAGCAATGAATTCCGCTGAGTACGTGATCTTCTTTATCAATTCTTTGGCTCCCCGTCGGTCGATGACGGTGTGGCATTTAATGCAGCAGGTTGCCAGTTGGGGACTGCAAACAAGAAAACAAAGTTAACTTACTAACCTTATTTCGCCAAACTTCAAGAATATTAGAATTTTGAATAAAAATTAACAAATTTGGAGACCTGGTTAGCATGTTATTGTGGGGATTCGGAACAATGGACAGCTGATCAACTAGAGCTCGAAGAGACGCGGTTGTGTAACTGTATGTTGCTGCAAGACAACAAAATCAAAGGCATGTGTAGGGTAGATGATAGCGACGATACAGCTGAGAGAAGTTTCGGATGAAGTTGGCGGCACTGTAAAGATTGGACCAAATAAATAACCTGGCCAATTAGGTCAAACATAGTTCTGCGAAGGGGTTTCTCCCAAAAACATTTAAAGATTACGATATAGGTGAAAAAATGACTAAAGGGACTATTCGCCTGAAGTGGCGATCTGCACGGAGCAGACCTCAAACACTGATGAAACTTGAAAACTCCCTCAAATTTTTTGTCAGGTTGTTGATGAGCCTTCGGTATGTGGCCCGAATTATAGATTTATCATCAACATTTCCGTTAAAACCTAGCGTTGTTTTGCGCACCTTGAGTGCCTTTTCAATTTCGATGACCAACCCTTACTCCCTGCAGCGGAGTTTACCTTTTTCCAGCCCATACAGTGGTGTATGACCCCTTCCCAGGATGAAGCCAGTAATCCAGTGCAAAGAAGGTGCAACAACAATGGGCTTGCGGAATGTGCCATCCTCGCTGATGTCCAAATATCCTGTGTAAACATTCTGGTGCATTGGCTTCATAAGTTGGCTCAGCAATAGTGAGAGCATGACATTGCTCTTAGTCACCGGTGCACGTGGCTGTCTTTGAGAAGGGAGGTAAAAATGTGAGAGCTACCATGACATGTTATTTTATCAATAACCGAATTGCACTATTCGCTTCTGTTCACCATGGGTCTCAATGACAAATAATGGACTTAGGCGGTTTGCCGGTAAGGCTCAGATCAAGGCCAACTATCACATGAAGATTACTAGAGTTTCGATTCACAATAATCCACCCCAGTCTTCTGATATTCTTTCTGGACACCGAAGAGGTTAAATCCAGTAGCTCGCCTGTTTAGCTGTGCCGCTAATTTAAATTCTAAGTCGGATGTGCAACGTCCGATATGCTGCCAGTATTGACTCGTTTGCGCTACGCTGTGCTGATGTACAGATTACAGCGCCGCGGATGAACGATGCCGCTAAAACAGTCCGCTTATTCATCAATGCTGATAGGTGCGAAGAGCTTTCGAAGTAAATTTCTCAACAGAATAAGACTCAGGCCAGGATTAATGGCTGTCAGTTTAAAGCACTTGAAAGTTTAAAATGTCTCAGGGAAAAGTTTCTGCCAATTAGACAGGGTAAGACATCCTCAATCAGCCTTTTAACAGGTCTTGGAAGCCGTCATGGACTCTTCGTGAAATATTAAGGACCACAGAGATCCACGTGAATCGAACATCCGGTCTACGGCTTTGAATGCTGAGCTGTCAGTGTACAGAACAAAGAAAACCTGAACTTCGTCGCCTACCGTCCTTACATAGGTATTCATCGAGTGTGGTAGACTGAATTACACTGCGGAAATATCACAGAGTATTGTAGGGGTCTAAGTAGTGTCTGTGCCTAGATCACTACAATCATCAGGTCGAATCCCAGGTTGGAAGTTAAAAAGCAAGAGTCACCAGAATAAGGGGTTTATTGTATACAAAACTCCCAGTTGCAGTCTCAGGTGGCAGTGGCCACTGGCAAAGCCAGACCTGAGAGTGTCAACTGTGTGTTTTGTGGGGATGATGACAGTTGCTTTTACATAACTGTGAACCAAGTTGAAGTGCTATGTTATTGGTGTGTTGTAATTGCCCGAGGGAATGTCGCCTGTAAAGGCCCCTGCTGCGTGGCCGCGGCTTGTCGTGTTCGAGTGGCACCTAGGCAGGCGTGCTTATTTGGACGCGCGTGTATGCGCGGGTGTGGAGCACATGTGTGGGTGAGTGAATATCAGTGGTCAAGTGGTCTTCAGGTCACCAGGTGGAACAGCCGCCTGCAAAGACACGTTGACGTTGACGTTGACGGCC